TTTCACTTGTTTATTGATAATTATTGTATTCAACTTCTATATGAAAACTCGTGCTTTGCTTGCATGTATTACATATTGTCTGGTGGCGACATGAATATAAGTGTAACTTGAGTGTGTCGCCAGCACGTCTTGTCACTGTATGTTTCAATAAAAATGATCTGTGTTGAATTGTGATGAGATTTTGTTCTATACTTTTTTTATGATTACTGCATTACTTTATATATTGCGCCGCACGTGCTTTGCTGAAGGGCAAATAAGTACGGGGCAGTAACGAGGCGACCCCATCAATATGGAACTTTCATCTGTCTGAGGAGAGATGTGGGGAGCATATGCCGCACTCGTGATTAGAAAAACCCTGCACGTTCCAACCAAAAACCGATACAAAGCTAAGGCCTGGGCAAAAAATGTTAACTAAGGGTGCCAGAGTATACAGTGCAATTTTACGGAATACAGTACAATCGTACTAGTATACAGTGGCACTGTATAGTAGTAAAATTGCACTGTATATTAATACAATTGTACTGCATTCCGTAAAATTACACCGTATACTCTGGCACCCCTGTTAACGCTGTGTCTTCTTGTTTCAGTCCTGACAAAAATTAGGGTCGGTAGGTAGGGATTATATTTTCTTTCTTTCTTTCTTTCTCTCTTTCTTTCTTTCTTTCTTTCTTTCTTTCTTTCTTTCTTTCTTTCTTTCTTTCTTTCTTTCTTTCTTTCTTTCTTTCTTTCTTTTTAATAGGCTTTGACAATCTCTAGTGATTGAACTTATACAATACAGTTCATTGGAAAACCCTGCACGTCCCAAAACCCGATACAAAGCTAAGGTTCCCTATTCAGAAATACAGTGTGAATATATAGATATCGACATGAGATTGGGTGTACAGAGTATCTGTTCGAGGGTCGTAGTGGAGAAAAGGTTGGAAGGGAAAGCCAGGGAAGCCGTTTGCAGATCTGAATTACTTTATTTGGATGTATAACAGGTCTTGACAAGAGATATATGCATATAGACACGAGATTTAGGTATACTATACTGACAATCTCTTCGAGGGTCGTGTCCTAGGAAAGGTTATACGGCAAAGGACGCCCTGGGCCAGGGAAGCCGTGTGCTGATCTGAATTACTTTATCTGGACGTATGACAGGTCTTGACAAGAGATATATGCATATCGATATGAGATTTGGGTATACTGTAGGGACGATCTGTCCAAGGGTCGTGAAGTAGAAAAGGTTATACGGGAAAGGACGCCCCGGACCAGGGAAGCCGTGTGATGATCTGAATGACTTTATTTGGATGTATGAGTCTATGACAGTCTCGACAAGATATATATGCATATGGACACGAGATTGGGTATACTATAGGGACGGTCTGTTCTAAGTTCGCGAAGGAGAAAAAGGTTGAACGGGAAAGGACGCCTTGGGCCAGGGAAGCCGTGTGATGATCTCAATTACTTTATTTGGATGTATGAGTCTATGACAGGTCTTGACAGTAGATATATGCATATCGATATGAGATTGGGTATACTATACACTGTAATACATACGATTCGTTCTAGGGTCGCGTCCTAGAAAAGGTTATATTGCAAAGGACGCCGGAGGCCAGGGAAGCCGTGTGCTGATCTGAATTACTTTATTTGGACGTATGACAGGTCTTGACAGGAGATATATGCATACCGACATGAGATTTTGGTACACTATACTGACAATCTGTTCGAGGGTCGTGGAATAGAAAAGGTTATACGGGAAAGGGCGCCTTGGGCCAGGGAAGCCGTGTGCGGATCTGAATTACTTTATTTGGATGTATGACAGGTCTTGACAGGAGAGATACCGGCAGGGCAGATGTGAAGAACGCGGTCAGGCTAGGGCAGCACAACTGTCCACAGATATGCTTCTCTCTGTGACCCTTGTCAATCAGACGTGCGGCTCTATCGGCAAGAGAGCATTTTTTTTCTTTCTCTCTTCATTACGATTGGCGAGCGACCGGCATTTTCTTTTTTTTTTTATTAAGATTGCAGCAAGACAATATAATGAGGGTACTACATGGCTACTAGCTGATCTGTTTTTTACCTGTAATATTACAAAATCAGCAGCATAGAAGGAAGATGCTAGGGTTAATGTTATCTGATCCTTTATATATATGGAGGGTAACATGACAATCATTTTAGTATTCTGGGACTGTTCTTCTTTCTTTCATTCCCCTCCTTCCTTCCTTTCTTCCTTCCTTCCGTCTCTCCTCCCGTTCCTCCTTCCTTCTTTCCTTCCTTCCATCTTTCTTCTTTTTATATTATGACATATCCATTGTACATCTCTGTCCCATGCGCCCCGCCCCCTTCCCTCCATCCTTCTGTATTACGCCCATCAGTACCACCTGTATAACCCGGGAGGACCTAGTCTGGCACAAACCACAGGATCTATAAAGTATGGTCCACCTGTCGTGACTTGTAAGACGCTCTCACCGCCCTCCTTAAATTCGTCGTCATGGCAACCGATTTATAAGATGTGGCAGACGATCTAATGTCATGTCAAAACGATGGTTTGCCAGTACAGTGAGGGTCAATTCGACGCCTCCTTGAAATACCATTTTCATTGGTGAAAATCGCAATTCTGTCTGTATAGCCCGGAATTGGGCCCAACTCACGCTATGACCCTATAGGGTGGTTTATTTTAGCCTCTACCGGGCTTCGGGAAGCGGCTGGGCAGTAGAAATCAGCCAGAAAGACAGATAACATATATATACCAGGGGAGTTGGTCCGCGCTGAGAGAACATTTTGCCGCAAAATCCCTGGTATATAACTGTCTTTCTGGCCGCTTTCTATTCTATCCAGCCGCTTCCCGAAGCCTGGTAGAGGCTAGGGTTATCTAGATGTGTAGAGAAGAAGACTACAGTACAGTACAGCATGCTTTCTGGCTGATTTCTACTCCCCAGCCGCTTCCCGAAGCCTGGTAGAGGCTAAAATAACCTTCCCTACGGTTTCATAGCGTCAGTTGGTCCGCACTGAGAGAACATTTGGCCGCAAAATCCCTGGTATATAACTGTCTTTCCGGCCGATTTCTATTCTATGCAGCCGCTTCCAGAAGCCTGGTAGAGGCTAGGGTTATCTAGTTGTGTAGAGAAGACCACTGTACGACAGTACAGTACAGTACAGTAAAGTACTTACCGGTAGAGAAGAGAACCAGTGCGATCACCCCCGCCAACATTCCCACAGTAACCTGCTGCAGTGGTACCATCTCGTCCGTTCCAGAGTTCTTCCAGCCCTCCCGAGTACTTCCTCCTTTACTCCTCTCGGTAAAAACCTCCCTCGTCGGCCGTCTGTAGCTCTAGCAGCCTCAGTCCGTCCGGTTTTAGCAAGACCCAGTCAAGATCCTGAACAGAGGGAAGAAGGCAAGAGATTTCCTGGTCGGAACTGGCAAGCGCAAGCCTCCGGCGGCCACACAAATTATTGAGCCTAGCTGCAACACGTACGCCCGTGCAGCCAATGCTGACTGACTATGTGGCGAGCGGTCTGTTACCTCCAATATCAGACAAACCCAGAAGCTCTCCCAGCGAAATATGCCTCACGTGACCTCCCTCAAAAGTTGGTGGGAGTGTCCAATTTCGGATGATTGACAGGCAAAATCGACGATCGAGAGAAGTGGAATACCAGAGTAGGACATACACGTACAGAATTCTAGTCAGCTCGTGAAAGATAATATCCCAGTCTCTAGTTAAGTTAAAAATACTCGCACATAACAACATTCGTTGCTAAGCCGACAGCATGGCAGTACGTAACGAGGAGAAAGTCTGGCGACAGGCACGTCAGTCAAACGCGTTGCCATAGCGACAAGAATCGATAGCACCCCAGTGACAGGTGCCGTTTACCACGGAGGGCTCTCGGGTGGGCGTGGTCGCTTTTGGACCAGTCTCGCGCGAAACGAAAGACGCGGGAAAGGGGAAAGGAAATCTCTATCCTGTTTTAGCTCACTGAAGAGCTAATCTCCCACTGGTCGTGACAGAGAAGACAGACGCTATGTACAGTATTTACAGGTTCATTGTACCGGGGAAATTCCACTAGCTCTTTTCTTACAGTGGACCAAATCTTAACGTTCTGTCCTAAGGACTGCGACCCTTTCCAGTAGCGTGCCTGTCTGGTGAGCGACAACAGCCGGGATTCGAACTCCCAACCTCTTGGTCCAGAGACAGACTGCACGATCGAATGTCGCCTAAAATGACAAGCGAAGACTCCGAAAGCGATAAAAAAATAGTTGGTGGCTTAATTCGATATCTGTAAACATGACGGTTACGTAAGAGTGATGACGCTTTACGTTTAGACAAGCCCCCCCCCCCAGGGACTCTTGATGTCACGCAGGCGATTAGAGTGAAGAAACTTAAGTCTGATTGATCTAAAGCACGATGGATACGGTAACACTCCTACTGGTTCGTGGTTCTATCTGTCAAACAACGATTGGAAGATTGTGGAATGAGATATTTGCCTTCGTAACAGGTGATTGTTTTAGTAAATGGTACCCATTAACAACAGAGGTAGAAAGCTTTACATGAAAAGTGTGCTGTGAATAAACTAGTATTTTTATCCATTTTAGTGTAGAAAACGTCCCTTTCACAAGATTTTCATTGAATCTATGTGGAATATCGAGCTTTTGTTTGTTTGTTTGTTTGTTTGTTTGTTTGTTTGTTTGCTGTTAAACTAATTATACGTTTGATATATAACTTTTGTATAGGATAATCAGTTATTGACTAGGAAAAACAGTTCAAATTCTGGGCACGACTGTCGTTCCCAGTATCTTTACTGGTGCAGCTATTTTATCGTTCCCAGTGTATTCAGAAGTGCATATCGTCTGCAGTCACTTTATCGTTCCCAGTGTATTCAGCAGTGCATACCGTCTGCAGCTACTTTATCTATATATCATCGGATATCATATACTCAATCATTCATCTTCCAATAAAATACTGCATGAAACAGTTATGCGGGTTTCGCTGACTTTTTTTTCTTAAAATCCTCAGGAAATGCCATTTCATAAGCTAGGTTCAATTTTAAACATTTTCTGGGGGGATGCCCCCGGACCCCCAGGAAGTTACTGAACTTGCTGGTTCCTCGGATAGTAAGAATATACGGAAAGTGCCATGATTGCGGTATTTTGTGAGCCGGAACTCTGATGTACGATCTGTAGATACCGCAATCTGCGAATAAGCCAATATTTGCGGCATGAAAAGGGCCGCCAGAGAGGCCATCAGCAGGGTTGGAATTTCCGATACTGGCAGCAATTTCTGCACGTGCAGACCCTAGTCTGATTTATCGCTCACCTCAGTGCATGGCGGCCATTACGGCTTTGACCCGATATGACCGCCAACAAATGACAGGAGCCGTTTGAGGGATAGACTTGCCCGCAGACGGTATGCACCAGTGAAGACACTGGGAACGATAAAGTGACTGCAGACGATACATGTATGCACTGGTGAATACTCTGGGTATGATTTTATGATTATAAAATGTCCTCCACAATAATGGTATCAGGACAGAATCAGTCCACCTTTTAAAAAACCTTGGACATGTAGATGCAAAAAATCGACCTTCCAGCGTGTGTGTGTGCGGGGGGGGGTTCTTTTGAACACCGCCCCCCCCTGGCATGCTTTCAAAAGTTATGCACTTTGGGTAGCCTCCACCAGGCCTTTCTATGGGGATACGGATCGTAGAATTCGGCAAAAAAAGAGAGTAAAATTGGCCAAGGGAGTTAGGCCGCGGGAAGGTTGTTTCTTCCCCTCCGAAGCGGCCAAGTCAAACCCCAAGGTAGCCAAACTCCCCTGGCAAATATTCTCCTATATACGAGTATATAGCCAGCGTAGTTAGTCTGGTAGAGACTACACTTTGGGAATATTATCGTCCATGGAGCGTAGCGGGCAGGATCCAAAATCCATCCAGCAGTTTCTGTGGCGGCTGCATCTACCCCATAAAACACTATCGCACACACGACAGACGAGGCGGCATTACCGTTATGCACATGGCTCGGGGTTGGGATTTGCAGTTGGAAATGACGAGACATTTAGATACAACTTCTCGATAACAGGCCATACTGTTGGTTGCAAAAGTAGGTTCTATAAACTGTGAGATAACAATAAGCCAGGCCTACAGTTTAATTTGTGAATCCCATAACAATTGTCTGAACGTTTCTCTCTGTGTAGTTTAGAATAAGTGACATACGCTGAACTGTAACCCTTAAGCTTACTCTTTTAAACATGTTGCCTTCTTACATACCTTGTTGGATGTAACGACGTTTTGCTGCTTTCATTTGCTCTGCATTGACTTATAATATATCAAGCAAGAGACTCCGGATTAGGAGCTATCCTAACGTTTAGTTTCATGAAGGCCAGTAACCTTAGACTATAAAGTTATATTTGTAGTTCGACGTGCAGTAGCATTTTCGTCTAACCATTTCCGAAATGATATATTTTCAGGCCTCCAGATTTTACCCCGAGCCGCTGTACATACGGATGAATGATGTTGCTTTCATATTTTCATTTGTACTGCATTGCAACCTATTTATAAAGCAAGAGACTGGGGATTGTGGGCCACTCCAGAGCCTTAAAACTAGTAATTCTGGGGCATAAAGCTATTTTATGTAGTTCTTGACGTTCGGATTCCGTCTATCCATTTTGTTCTTTAGTACTGGGGAAACTCGTATTTCCCCCGAACTATCGTAGACTGGGACTCGTTGCCACCAAGCACAGTTGGGGCATCATCACTGAGAAAGCTTTGAACAACTCCTGCAATTAGATGTGCAAAGATTGAGTGTAACAAGTCGTTCGGTGTGATATACTAGTACTAGTAGCTAGCCGCGCCTGCGAAGCTGGTGTGTTACGCCGAAGGGCGGTTATCCCGGCTATACTGATACAGATACAGATACAGTACATTTTCAGGACTCCAGATTCCATCCCGAGTCGCAGTACTAACCCTTTTCCATTGTAAAGGACAGTAATTCGTTGTCTGTTCGATCTTCCGATACACGTCGAGCCTGATTTGTCTCCGCGCGCGGTAGGACAAGTTGCGCCTGTCGGTAATGGTTTTCGGATGCGCTTATCGGCCAGGGTTCTGGGCCATTATGTCAACGACATATTCTTGGTCACGGTTTCCTTTCGGTAGAGATTGGAGAGGGACATCAAGATTAGGCACGTAAACCGAAGGCACGTCAAACTCTGAGTACTTGCTCGTTTGCTGTGCGAATCCAAGAATGATACAACAAATTGCCCATCTCTAGAGAGGAACATTTGGTGTAAAGGAGACCTGAGCCAGAATAGTATATGCGGGGAGAATTTAAGTTGAGTTCAACCTGAATCAAGATACGAAACGACCCAAGGCACGTAAAATGTGTCTACTTGCTCGTTTTTCTTTTGAGATTATTTTTTCTGTGCAAGCCAAGAATGATATAACAAAATCGCTATAGGGACATCGGGTGTAAAGGAGACCTGAGCCAGAATCGTATGTGGCGGCGAGAATTTAAGTTGAGTTCAGCTTGAGTCCACCGTCACTCTGTCTTTGTCCTGTTATTCGTATTAGTAGATGTCTCTCTGAACAGGAAATGTTAACGTTATTCGTCAATCTGCTACAATACACCATGCACAGAACAGCCAGTGAAAGACAGTCGGTTTTTTTTCCTATCATAAATACATTACATCTGTGACTTGATCCACTCATTGTAGCGATGGATCACATTAGTTCCAAGTCTACTTCTTCATGGGTGAAATGACAAAACAGTATCTGATTATTACCGACTATTACATCATTACTAATTAGATTGACCTTTTTTCGGAAGCTGTGTTCACATGTATTCACATTGGGCTACACCGGGGAAGCCTGTTTTATTGGGAACATAAACAGGTTTGTGGCGCTAAGCTATTATGAACAGAATGTATAGAGACAAAACATGTCGGTTTGCGACACAAAGTTTGACCATTATACTATTTGAAACTTCAGAAACTACGAAATCCACTTCTTCTAGCGCCAGTGTGTTAACTTATAGCAACTTGTTCCTCTTAAGAGAAATATATGTAAAAAATTATGGTGAGCATGAACTCCTGTTGAGGAAAAATTCTTGGTACAGGAAAACTAAAAAAAAAACACCTCCGCCCCCTCCCTCAAAAATCATGAAACAATCCTCAGAAGTAAGGACATATGTAACTAACGGATGGCGTTTCAGCACCAAGGAGGTCATGACATGCGAACACTGCCATGGGACTTAATGTGCTACTTTATAGGTTATTCTCCGGGCACCAATGGCTGTTTATAACTGACTGATGACCATTACAACACATCTTTCCATCTGTAGCGATAGTGGACACGAGAGTACGTAAATGGTCAAATATCACGCCATTTCCTGGTTGTGATAAAATTTCCGGTATCCGGTGACACCGATCATTTGTCAACAACTATTTTTGGAAAATCAGCAAAGTATACCTCTGCCGACTATTTATGGAATAAAAGTAAAATACTTCACCTAATTTGCCACACAAATATGAAATTCCATCATCTACCACTTACATATCATAACATTTTATAATCTTATACATACAGACAAATAAATAAACACACAAACTCTTTGGTACAAGCAACACAGTGCCGCCTTCATATTCAAACTCTGGACAGCAGAAACATATAAACATTCTTCGCAAGAGTCTTTGCTGGTTATACGTTTCCTTGAAATAGTTTCCTACAGAAGGAATCCTCCGCCACACGTAATATATTATCAATAATATTTTCAAATCGTATCCATATGAACAAGTAGACAAATATAAACTCTTTGGAGTA